ACACAAAATCAAAGCATTCAAGTATAAATTGCAAGCAAATGATAGTTGACATAAGAAATGCAATAAACATTCGATGAATAGTAAAGCACAAACAAAGTTAATAAATCAGATTAGCAGGTAGCAAAATTATAGGACACTTACAAAACATCTTTGCAATTAAAAGGATCAAACCTAAGTGACCTAACTAGACTCACCAACAACTTATGGCAGTTCCACTTAGTGACTTGTCAATTTAGGGATCAGTAACTGCACTTGCATGGTCCTCCAATCATTATCACAATAATTGACCAAGTTGCAATAAATAGAATTAATTTACAGGCTGAAAAGAATAAAAAGAAAACATACATTCCACAATAATTAATCAATAAGAAAACATTAATTCATTCAACAATAATTCATATATAGAGAGCAGATGGTTGGGTGAAAAATATGGGTAGATGCCTCCCAGCAACAATGTAGTTGCATGGATGTGTTACAACGCAGTTTTTTTAGTTTATAGCTGTGGCCCTTGGTGTGGGACTCCTGTCAGAGACCACCACTGCCATGCTTCGAATGGACTATCATGATCCCTTCCCTCAAGAATGTAGCCTACAACACTTCTTGACTGTAACATTATCATTCACAAGCCACCAGATTAATCACACCAATTTGAATTTGATCAATCAGCCCACCGGATTGTCTGCCATTGCATGAAAATTTTTTACACCACCCGGATGGAGTGAGCCAGAGACTTGCAGTGATTGATGCCTGCCACCAAGCCTCCCATATCTGTCCCACTTGTTGAATCAACCTACAGTCAAATGGCCATGCGTCATAGGACAATAAATTTTGGAACAGAACTATGCTATCTGAAACCCAACCCCAGATACTGTGAGCTAAAAGTTACATAATTTAACAAAGCTTTGGAAGTCACTCATCAGTGGATGATAGATTTTGTGTGGAGTATTGTCAATTATGTCTTTTCAAGTAAAGCTAATTTTATATGTTAATTATTTTCACAGTTTGAAAGGTTGAATGATTATTGACAGGAAGGACAATAATAATCTAAATTCTTTTAACCAGGGAATAATCAAAGACCATTGGGTAACAAAGCAACTATTGATTTTATTAATAGGTGGTACTGGTAGCCTATGTGGTATGGGCTGGCTGTAATGTGATGCAAGTTGGCAGCAATGCTGTTGGGGACAGGAGTCTAGCATGAACCATGATAGGGTGAGCATCCTCCAAGCGTGTGCTATTAACAGGCATAGCATGTGTTGGAAAAAAAAATTGCCAGAAAAAGCACATCAGAGCAAACAATCTATTTATTTAGTAGAACAAAAATTAGTTTATTATTAGTTTGAAAACTCAGTGTTGCTTCAAAATTGTGAAAATATCTGTTATATCACACAGCCACACAAACAGTGGTAAATAAGGGCAAAACTAATGACAGAGATCAGGCTAGGCAGTGCATAAGCACTCAAAGCCTTCAAATCCAATTATAAAAAAAAATAAAAAAAATAAGGGCAACCACATGCTCATGACTTGGTTGATTTAAGTTTGAGTGTGAAGTTGCCAATTAGAAATTTTACCATGGTAAGCACAGCCGGTCATTCATGCATTGGTTGCATTCACATAAGATTTGTTTGTCAAGCTCTACAACAAGCATGAATGTCGTGCCTGATCTAGTAGCTGTTTTGATTGTGCGTCTGGCACTCAGCTAACGTTAGTCACTCATTTCTTCCTGCGGATTTCCCTTCCTGCGGAAGTCCCTGCCAGTTGGGCAGGGACTTTCAAAACTTGATGCCTCCTGTACACTGAAGCAAAAACTGCCTGACTGCCATTTCAATAGCTTTGTTGTGATCCATGCTTGGTTTGTGCAGATACCTATATCAACTCCATTACATATACAGCATACTGAAAAAAGCAAGGCTGGAGATAAAACTGTATCTTGGACAAAATATTGGACAAAAGAACTGTATACTAGCCAAGAAAATATTTCTCTGATCATAAGGGAAAATATCTACCTAAGCTGAAATAGATTACAGCATTGAGAGCCTTTCATCTATTGATTCTAACTCAGCACTAGTTGTTGGGAAAAGTCTTACTTTTTATAAAATATTGCGGCTCTAATATAAAATTTATAACCTATGAAATTTTGTGGCTCTAATTTTATATCTATTTTTGTATGATTTTCCAGCTTTTGCATTTCAGTATCATGCCCCCCCCCCCCAAAAAAAAATATCCTGCATAATGAGTGAACCCAAAACATTTGGTCAGTGATCACATAGTTGCAGTCACATCAGATTGAAGTATAACTGCATTTACTCTTCAATAAAAATGTAAACAATACATTATTGAGTGTTCAGTTTCCTCTGAAGTAAAGTAATGTTATTTTTGCAGTTTCTAGTATAAAATTAGAAATTTGGGTCAACGTGTGTAGAGGACTTTGCAAATGAGTTTACTGCCCATATGACTGGGATATGGTATTTACAGCTCAAAGAAATTGACTCACAGCTTGCAAATCCATAAAATCCCAGCTCAAAAAATCCAGTGGTAATTCACTCAGAATCACTCAAAATCAGACCTGGCTGGAAATTCAGACCCTGCAGACCAACCTCCACACAAAAACCTGGTTTCTAAAATAGTACTGTCACCCATTTCATTTTAGATTAGAAAAACCTGCATATTATTAATATGATTGACTAGGTCCTGTAACTTGCTCTATAGTCTTTCAAGACATATCTCCAGTATATAGCATTATGATTATGACTACTATGTCATGTAACTTACTCTCAAGACACATTATATTTCATCAAAGTGGTAATAAAGAACAGGTGGGGTAATAAGGGACAGTCCTCTGACATATTGTATAAATTTTGTAGCAGCTAATCTATTTAGAATATTGCAAAACTGAAAAAGTGGCATAAAGTTCAACATTTTTCCTATCTATGTAGCATAAAGTAAGTTGAGAAATCATCCATTTACTACCTCTAAAAAAATCCCTAAAAAGTGTGAAAAGTGAGATTTTAGAAAATTACCTCTGCTAAGCTCTGTAGCAAGAAAAATATTAGCTGTATTAAAAAATTTTACTTACATATAAGTTGCACCTAGTGACGGCTCAAAAACATTATTAATGGAATTTTCATAGCTCAATTCCCTCCCCAATAATGGTGGCCATTCCCACAAGTAAGGGACACCTCTAAAATTGCATTTACAGTAGAACCTTGGTTAGCAAAGGCTCCAGTTAACTAAATAATCAATTAAAAATGAAGAATTTTGATTACATTAGCAAAAAATTGCACTTCAAGAGAAATTAATGCATCATCAGTCATCACAAAATTGTGCATATAATGTCATGTATAGAATTGTGCACCGGGCAATATAGAATGAAAAGTAATTAACCTGAACTATGATTTATTTCTCCAAAAAATATGATAGTTGTCACTAAAATATTCTTTCTGTTAAAGGTATGTTTTTACTGTCTTTTTTTGTCATTATAGTGAATTCACTTGACCCAAGTAAAATGGGGCAAATCACAAGCCATCCTGTACATACAAATACAGAAAAAATGCTATATGGCTGCTGATATGAGGCTTGCAGTGGACAAGGTCATTGTCAATGCTCAATGGCATGTCCATGGATACCATAATATCACAGCAATAATATGGTAATGGATGGATATGGTAATATATCAATAAAGGAAAACCAAGTAAAAAACATAGAAATGCCATTTTTACTAAATTTACATTATCTACAGAAGAAGAGGAAGACTTCAGAGTACTGCTAGTATAGATGATTCTTCAAATTTTTTAAAATTATGGTTTTCTTCATGTGTCCCTTATTACCCTGTTCCCAGGGGTAATTTGGGATCTTTTCTTTCGCGTCTAGCACCTTATAAATACCACGTAAGCTTTCTTGCAGATGCCATACCATAGTCCTCACAAAGATCTTCAAAATCAACCCAAACTCATTTATGAAATGTTTCATGGTAAGAAGTTTTAAAACAAAAAATGCTCAAAACCGTCCAATACCCCAAAACCAAAATGGTTGGTAATAATATGATTATGACTAGGTCCTGTAACTTGCTATATTCAAGACACATCATGGGGATATAGAATAAGAATAAAAATGACCAGCAGTTATCTCCTTCATAACAAAGGTATAAAAAAATTCATTAGAATTTTTTGGAAACATTTTGGTAATTTTAATTTATTGTGGAATAAGTAAACTTCAAGATGGTGTTAAGAAGCTATTTATGTTAGCTCTATATGAAACATAAGTTTAAGATCATAGTTAACTGTAGTGTAAATCAAATTTACAGTGTTGTTTCTCAACATGAAATGTAAAGATTTGCATTGTAATTTCTCAACATGGAATATAAAAATCCACATTGGTTGCCAAAAAATTGCTTTTTGCTGACATTCACATTCACTATGCTTACAAAAGCTGTAACTTCATTTTTTATTTTATTTTCTTGTGTAATTAACTCCTAAGTCTATAGAAGAAGTTTGAAAAAAGAGTCATAACTAAAACAAAGTTGAATGGTCAAGATGCATCAATAGTCTTTAAGCCCATTAATATTTTGGCTCCTGAAATCAACTAAGATCTTGATGTTATAAGTAAAAAAGACTGGTTGTAGAAGATACTCAAATTCTTTAGGGACATATTATTTTCAAACATAATTTTTGGGCATGAAACATGTTTTTCATATAAATTTTTAATAACTTGTCTCTCTAGTTAAAAACAGCTAGCTAAACAAGCCCAGAAATTTAGCATATGCATTAGTAAAAGGTTCTAATTTTCTTAGAAATTTTGGTAGAGTTGCTACTATATATCATTAGAAAGTTGATTAACTTGTTAAGTGTAGTGGAAAAATGAAATTTTATACTTCAACACAGTGAGATTATTGCACCATCACAGTGTACTTTTAAATGTTTGCACCCAGTGATATTAATGCAACCTGGTCCTGAAGAATTTAGGTTTGCATGGACTCCTATTCACAGTCTCCTTATATGCAGAGTCCTCGAGCATGGAGTTATCCACTTACATGCCTTCTCTCACGGAAGGCTTGACTGCTGTGCAGAGTATCACTGAAGCTCATGATGTTGCTGTCAAAGTAAAATGTGAAGGTAAGATGGAATCTTCTGTTGTCACATTCATTTGAATGGAGCAGTAACTAAAGTGATATGTATTTCTCACTCGAATCAAGGCCTTAAATTAACTTTTTCACATTAATTTTTTCATGTCCCTTGAGATATTTTGTTGTCAAAATTAATGTCTGCTAAGGTTTTGTGATGAAAAGATAAATGATTACATAGATGTATCATAGAAACTTGCACTCACTTTAGTACATATAATCTTGATTATATTCTTTTTATCCAGCAACTGCTGCCTGTTCTGTGCCTGCGCCAGAAATATGTGCAGTGTATATCAAGGAGGAGCTTAAGGAAGATTGGGATGACATTTCATTTAAAGAAGAACCAGTTTTTCCTGAAGATGATGAGGTAAAATTTTCTAACTTTGGATTTTCTGGGTTAGCTTACAATTTTGTTGTGTGATTTTTTGACTTGGAAGTACCTTGTCTCCCTTATTAATTGCTGACTTGCAGCTCATGGAAACCATTGTTTTATAAAATTTTCGAGTAAGACATTTTGATTTTAAATTTTCATGATATATTTGATAACCTGTGTTCAAGTAGGTTAGAATTAATTTTTCTGTGAAACAGCATGGCAGGAAAATCGAGTTCTGTACATCCAAGAGATCTTCAAAAAATGTTGAGGCCAGTGATGACCTGACTGCAAATGAGAGAGTTATTGAAGACACTGCTGATGGTGATGAAATGTTATCATCTGAAGTTGTTACTGCAGATGCTAATGGCAGCAGAAATTTGCTCACACCTTCAGTTGGCAGGAGTAAGCGGTCTAAACCTAAACCTAGTAAGGGGAATGCTGCTGGCATAAGTAAGCTCTCTCCAGCTGGAAGAGTTTCAGAATTTGCTACTGATGGTAGAGAAAAGCCTGCACTAAAAGGTACTGCAGGAGATATAACTTCAGTTGATAGGCTATCATCAGCTAAGAAAGTTAGAAAAGATTCAGCTGGTGGCAAGAACCTCTCTTCATCTGGCAGATTTACCAAAGATCCTGTTACAAGTGCTGAAGTGCCAAAACTGGCAGAGCTTGTTGTAGGCACTGCTGACAGTTGTGAGTTGTGTGCACGTGCTGCAGCTGCTGAAGAGATCAATGGTAGTAATGACAATTCTGAAGCATCCGGCACTAAGCCCTACATGAAGCAGCATTCATCAAAGCAGAATCTTAATCTTCAGCATTCATCTACATTATATCATGAGTGCCCTGACTGTGAATACCGTAGCAAATTCAAGTATCAACTTCAGCTTCATATCCTTGCTAAGCATTCACTTGGGAAACTATTCCAATGTCCTGATTGTCAAAATGAATATTTCACCAAGAGGACATTTAGACATCATATTCTATTGAAGCATTCATCTGAACAGCTAGAGCATAGTGGCAACTCTCAATCTTTGAGTGACAAGCATTCAGAAGTCAGTCCTGATAGTGTCAATTTGCTTGCAACTAAAAAGCACTTGCATTGCCCTAAGTGTGAGAAAACATTTTTCTATAAGACTGGCCTCAAGGAGCATTATATATTGAAGCATACAGAAGAAAAGCCTTTTCATTGTTCTGAATGTGATTTTGCTACTGTTAGTAGGTTAAGACTTTCTAAACATATGTTTCAAGACCACTCATCTGGAGAAACTTTTCAATGCTCTGAGTGTGATTATTCTAGTTTCAACAAATATTATTTCAAGAAACATTGTTTGTTCACACATTCAACAGAAAAGCCTTTCCAGTGCTCTGAGTGTGACTTTGTTACCAAATCTAAAGAGAATGTGAAAAGTCATTTTTTAAATATTCATTCATCACTTAAGCCTCATAAGTGCTTGGAATGTAACTATGCATCTGTGAGCAGAAAACACATGAAGAGGCATATATTTTCAAAGCATTCTGTGGAAAAACCTTTCCTCTGCACTAAATGTGAATTTACTTGTGCCACTAAACAGATCTTGAATTACCATTCATTTTCTGCTCATTCAAAAGTGAAGCCTTTTAAGTGCTCAGAGTGCAAATATGCTTGCATTACAAAGCAAAGTCTTGATCTGCATTTTCTTGCAAAGCATTCAGAATCCAAATCTTTCAAGTGCCCTAAGTGTCCATATGTTTGTGTTAGAATAGATAGTCTTCAGAAGCATTGCAGAGCAAAACATAATTCGTGAATGTTTTATATCTTCTTCAGGGAAAAATATATGAAATAAGTTGAACAAAATTGAAATGATTAATATGTAATAAGCTTTTTTCAGATCTATAAATACATATTTTCTACTCTGTTTCTAAGTGCTCACATAATCAAATTATTTCACAGTGCCTGCAACTGAAAAGCACATGCATTGCCCTAAGTGTGAGAAAACACTTTTCTATCAGACTGGCCTCAAGGAGCATTATATATCTAAGCATACAGAAGAAAAACATTTTCATAGTTTTGATTGTGATTTTGATGTTGTTAGTAGGTTAAGACTTTCTAAACATATTTTTCAAGACCACTCATCTGGAGAGAGTTTTTGATGCTCTGAGTGTGATTATTCTAGTTTCAACAATTATGATTACAAGCAACCTTGGTTAGGAATCAAGTAAGAATGTCTTGAATATTTGTTTTTTTCTTGTGCACCTTTGTGGATATTGCCCTTAACTAGAGCTGTTAGTATTTATCCCTAATTGCTAGAATAGACTTATTTTAACCCTAATTGCCTCTGGTTTTTGTGTTGCACTTCCCTCTTATATACTCGGTGATTATTTTATTATGCCTCAATATAGATTGTTTCCAATCAAATGAACTCTTCAAACGCACCATTGTGAATTTGAAACTATTTAAAAAAAGTATGAGAATGAAATGAGCAAATTTCAGCTCTTAGGCACAAAAATTCCCCTGTACAACTAGTACATCTGCACAATATTGTTGTGATGTTACCAATGGTGAGAAAATTCACGGTAATTAACACTTTGACTGCGACTCGCTAAATAGCATGTATTCCACAGGGTTGGCAATGATTAAATCAAAATGATTAAATCATGTGATTAAATCACTTGATTTTTTTATGAAAAAATCATGATTTTTTTATTTTATTCGATTTTTTTCCTTTTTTTGATTTTTTCAGATATTTAAAACTATTGAGTTTCAGTCTTTAATTTATATTGAGGTATTGTTATTCATGGTTTAGTATAAATGTACTATGAATGACAAATTGGTATATAAACTTGTTGCCTTTAGTGTGTATTAGGTTCCATAAATTGAAATGCTTTTTTGTACAGAAGCATCAAGTGTGCAATACATTGTATGCAGCTAGCAGCTTAGCTAATTCTTATAAGGCTATAAGTAGTCTCTAACTATTTGACTATTTGTTATATATTGATTATAATATACTATTTAAATGTGTTAGCTAGCTTATACAGGGTGGGGCAGAACTGATCGAACAGTTTTGAGGCAAAATAAGAGTAATGGAGGTACATAAAGAAGAAAGTTTATTTTCCTCAAGATTAGCATAACATACCATTTAAAATGCTTATGTTTTGAAAACAATATCAGGAAGATTGGGTTTGTTAGCTGCATCACACTGTTGGAGTCATTCTCGGAAGTTTTCTACAGCACGTTCACACATATGTGTTATTCCCTCCTCTGAGAACGACTCCAACAGTGTGTTGCAGCTAACGGCCCCCATCTTCCAGATATTGTTTTCAAAACATAAGTATTCTAAATGGTATGTTATGCTAACCTCTAGGAAAATAAACTTTCTTCTTTATGTACCTCCATTACTCTTTTATTTTACCTGAAAACTGCTCAATCGGTTCTGCCCCACCCTGTATATTGAGAGGTTGAGATTGTATTGACCTTTTAGGTAATTAGAAAGATTTTCCACCCTAATACAAGTGTTCTAATTAAAATATTTTCTCATAACTTAAGTCTCGTTTCAAGTCGTATGAGGTTTGTTTGGTTATCGTTCAGTTTATGTTTAGTAGGTATTGGTTTATTGGTCTGAATTAAATGGGAGCAGTGCAGTCAGTCACTCAGTCACCACCAGTTGTGTGTATAGAGGGTAGAGTCTGGTAGATTTATAGGACATAAAACTAGTAGATCTATTGATAGTGCTGTGCACTGTGCTATCAGCCACAGTCACTACTAGTCGGTGTGTATAGAGGGTAGAGTCTGGTAGATTTATAGGACATAAAACTAGTAGATCTATTGATAGTGCTGTGCACTGTGCTAATAGCTACCTATCTGTTGTGTGACTCTTCAATGTTTAGAAGATCTGCTTTCCTGAAGTGTTTTTTTATATTGAAGCCAGTTAAATGGTCAATATTTAGCTCATAACCTTGCTCCATACAAACTTTACAAAGCTAATGAGTGGACTTGTCAATAATTGTTTACCCAAAAATCCCTTAGTGGTAAACACCACCTTGTCCTGTTGGCCATTATTGAAGGCAATAAGTGCCCTTTTTAGCCATCCATTATGATCCATATACTGTTATTGTTAGTAGGCTAATTGCAACATAAAAAAATAACACTTCAAAAAGACAAAAAAGCTGAAAAAATAAAAAAATCAAATAAATAAAAAAATCATGAAAAAATAAAAAAAATCATTGGTTTTTGATTTTTTGATTTTTTTTTAATTAAAAAAATCACCAACCCTGGTATTCCAGTGGTGCGACTCATTCAAACTTGAATAACTTAAGTTACAGATAAGGCAGCGAGATCAGGGCTAGTGTGGTGCTCTTGTCTGAGCGAGTTCTACAAGCTTCTGACATAAAAACCGTGAGCCTCTATTGGTGCATGTCGCCTGGGATGGAAACTCATCTTTCTGGGCAACGTGCGCCATATGAGGTACACGGCATTTATTATTCAACTAAAATAAAAAATTTGCATCACAAGGGTACTAACGCTTGAAAAAAAACATTTTCTATGCAAATGAAATTGGATTGTGACTGCAATAATCAAACTACAAATCATTCTGGATAAAATGCTGTTAAATGGGAAGTTTATAATTCATTTAGATGATTTCTTACAAAACTGCTCTAAGCAAAGCATGCAGTGGTACCAACAACTGTTCAAGTTATTGGCAAAAACTGTAGCAAATGCCTGGGTGCTTGGTGATCAGTTCTATAGTCTGTAAAAATCGATGTGAATTGCTGAAGTCGTTGAAGATTACTGAATGTATTTTCACTAGTAATAGGTCAGGCACGTGAAGAAATGTTTCAATAACCAAATCACAATGATTTTAGATGTTGGCGTTCCAGCTCTAAAGTATTTGAAGCTGAGGATCTGAACTTCACGCCATGACGAGCTACTGATCTGAGTCTTGCTTTAACATAATTGCAAAAAAGTAAGTTAGTGTGTGCTAAAGTGAGACGAAAAGCTAGAAAAGTAACTATCAATTGCTAGCCAAGTACTCGGAATCTGTATCACTGTTTATCTTTGCTTTTTACAGTGCCATTCTGTTTCTGTGTGAGCTTAGGCAACTTTTGAATGACTAATACTTATTTATCTACTGCTATGATCCATACCAATACCGAAAAAATGATTTTCAACATAATGGAACAGGATAACCCCCTTTATTTAATACTTTTTCTTTTTCGTACCCACTCATTATTTCAGGCTATATTCCAAATACTAAGATTCTTATGATTCGATTGCATGACGTTCATATAGGTTTTTGAAAACATTATTGTCAATTATCCATCATATTTTTCACAAGTTTATGACCTGGCTGATATTTTAAAGAGCTTTTTTTAAAAAATTAAATTTTAAATTATATACCTATATATATGGCGCACCCTTAAAAAATTTTTTAAGCGTGTGCCATATATGGCACACATCGCAGTTTGGGACATGCATGCATGTACCATATATGGCGCACGTCGCAGTCAAAGTGTTAACATATGCATGTGCCTGAAAACAACCCAGTGTCAAATTTTTACTGTTATCAAAATGTGCAATCATTTAACAACTAATAAGGAGCATTTGTAAAACAAAATGGAATATATTGCATCTTCAATTTTTCTAAATGGAACATAGTACAGAAAATTTTGATCTCGTTGTCTGGAGTTCATTGGTCACCATTGCTAAAGTATATTAAATGAGATGCATGAGCACAGTGGCAAGTTTGAGTACCTCTCACCTTCATAGCTACACTGCTATTGTGCATTGGACGGGAGCCGACTTCCCCACTGACATGCAGAGCAGTTCACACGTCTCAAAAGTTTATGCATTTATTGCTGAATGGCCTACCTAACTATTATAGATCAAAACTGTTGATATATTATTGATCTAACACCGAGAATAGATTTGTATGAGAGTAGGTATGTCAGAAGACAAGGCTGTGAGATTTATTATTTTTTTATGGAGGTTATTAAAATTGAAAGTCAGTTTATTGTGCAGCCTATGCAATTAGGGTTAAATAACCTTTACAAAGAGTTACTGACAAATCTCAAGACTGTACTGTTGAGATAAACACTCTACTGTGGTTGACTCATGGTCTCTGATGAATAGTAATTTTGGTGGGTTACATGAATCTAATAGGCTTCTCAGATTACTAAAATTGCATTAACATTTTGGTTAGGTATAAAGTTGTGGCTTATGTAGCTGCTGAATTGCACTGCTCTGATTGGTAACTACATACCTAAATCAATTGTGCATTTGAACCATATAACAATTTTCTAAATATAACCTTATAATCTGTTGCCCAGAAAATTATTGCAGTGTGCTTTAGATGGATAATGTCTGGGAAATTTGAAGTCCTGAATATATCACACCTGAGCTTTTAACCTGCTGTTTACATCTAAA